AGTGGCCTTCAGCTCTTCTGCATTGTTGGGTCTGGCGTATCGCATCTTCCTCTTCACAATACCCCTTACATTTTCTATAGGGTTAAGGTCAGGCGAGTTTGCTGGCCAATTAAGAACAGGCATACCGTGGTCCTTAAACTAGGTACTGGTAGCTTTGGTACTGTGTGCAGGTGCCAAGTCCTGTTGGAAAATGAAATCTGCATCTCCATAAAGTTGGTCAGCAGCAGGAAGCATGAAGTGCTCTAAAACTTCCTGGTAGACGGCTGCGTTGACCTTGGACCTCAGAAAACACAGTGGACCAATACCAGCAGATGACATGGCACCCCAAACCATCACTGGCTGTGGAAACCTTACACTGGACTTCAAGCAACGTGGATTCTGTGCCTCTCCTGTCTTCCTCCAGACTGTGGGCCCTTGATTTCCAAAGGAAATGCAAAATTTACTTTCATCAGAGAACATAACTTTGGACCACTCAGCAGCAGTCCAGTCCTTTTTGTCGTTAGCCCAGGTGAGACGCTTCTGACGCTGTGTCTTGTTCAAGAGTGGTTTGACACAAGGAATGCGACCCATGTCTTGCATATGTCTGTGCGTGGTGGTTCTTGAAGTACTGACTCCAGCTGCAGTCCACTCTTTGTGAATCTCCCCCACATTTTTGAATGGGTTTTGTTTCACAATCCTCTCCAGGGTGCAGTTATCCCTATTGCTTGTACACTTTTTTCCACCACATCTTTTCCTTCCGTTCACCTCTCTATTAATGTGCTTGGACACAGAGCTCTGAACAGCCAGCCTCTTTAGCAATGACCTTTTGTGCAAGGTGTCAATGGTTGTCTTTTGGACAGCTGTCAAGTCAGCAGTCTTCCCCATGATTGTGTAGCCTGCAGAACTAGACTGAGAGACCATTTAAAGGTCTTTGCAGGTGTTTTGAGTTAATTAGCTGATTAGAGTGTGGCACCAGGTGTCTTCAAAATTGAACCTTTTTACAATATTCTAATTTTCAGAGGTACTGATTTTGGGGTTTTCATTAGTTGTCAGTTATAATCATCAAAATTAAAAGGAATGAACACTTGAAATATATCAGTCTGTGTGGAATGAATGTATACATTATACAAGTTTCACTTTTTGAATGGAATTACTGAAATAAATCAACTTTTTGATGATATTCTAATTATATGACCAGCACCTGTATTTGGACGGTGGAGCTAATGGCCATGTGTTCAAGTTCAAGTTTATTTATATAGCACATTTAAAAACACTAGTTGACCAAAGTGCTTTCCACAATAGACAACAAATATACTATACTATATAGACTATATAATATATAGATGACAACAGTAGAAAAAGTAAAAAATAAAATAAATGTCACTACTCAACTCTGTTTGAAGGCCAATGAATAAAGATAGGTCTTTAGCAAGGATTTGAAAGTGTCAGGAGTTTGGGCATTTCTTATTTGAACAGGTAAAGTATTTCAAAGATTAGCAGGTACTGAGAAGGCTCGGTCACCTTTAGTTTTTAACCTGGATCTGGGGACATCAAGGAGCATCTGATTGGATGACCTCAGTGCTTTGACCAGATTGTGTACATGTAAAAGTTCTGATAAATAAGAAGGTCCCAACTCATTTAAAATTTTAAAAACAAGCAATAAAATCTTAAAATCAATCCTAAAGCGGACAGGAAGCCAGTGGAGCGAGGCTAAAACAGGGGTAATGTGCTCACGCTTTTTAGTTCCTGTTAGAAGTCGGGCTGTTGCATTCTGGACTAACTGTAACCGATGGAGAGATGACTGATCCACTCCAACATACAAGGAGTTACAGTAGTCGAGACGAGACGTTATAAATGCATGTATTACTCTTTCAAAGTCTTTGCGTGGTAGGTAGGGCTTGACTTTGGCCAACAGTCTTTTACGACAGAACTAATCTGTTTTTCAAACTTAAAAGCACTGTCAAAGATCACACCTAGATTCTTGGTAAATGGATGACTATATGTTCCTAAAGTACCAAAAACATCTATACAAGCACTTAAATCCCCAGGTCGACTGACCACAACAACCTCAGTCTTACTTTCATTCAGACAGAGAAAGTTCTGATTCAACCATATTTTAAGATCTCTCAGGCAGTTGAGCAAGGACTGAGTTGCAGCTTTGTCATTAGATTTTACAGTTAAATACATTTGTATGTCGTCTGCAAAGCAATGAAAGGAGATGTTGTGTTTTTTGAAAATGGACCCCAATGGCAGCATGTACAGTGAAAAAAGCATGGGGCCCAATATGGACCCTTGGGGGACCCCACAAGAAAGAGGGGCAGCAGATGAAGAAAATTCACCAAGGTGAACAGAGAAACTTCTATCTGCCAGATATGATTGAAACCATTTGAGGGCTGTGCCCCTAATGCCGACACACTGTTCGAGCCGGGATATGAGAATGGAGTGGTTAACCATATCAAAGGCAGCAGTCAAATCTAAAAGCACCAAAACAGCAGTGTTTCCAGAGTCAACAGCTAAAAGGAGATCATTAAAAACTCTTAAAAGGGCAGTTTCAGTACTGTGACGGGGCTTAAATCCAGACTGGAATTTTTCATATATACTAAAATCATCTAAAAATGATTGAAGTTGATTAAAAACCACTCTCTCTAGGATTTTTGACAAAAAGGGGAGCTTAGAGGTCTAAAATTAGAGAGGTTTGAAGTATCCAGATTGTTCTTTTTTAAACGCGGTTGCACAACTGCATGTTTGAAAGCAGCTGGAACACACCCTGAGCTGAGAGATGTATTAACCATGGCGACATTGCTTGATCCAACAGTGCTAAAAACATCTTTCAAAAAGCGTGCAGGAATACTGTCAAGGGGGCAGTTTGCAGGACGTAGTTGCTTGACTATGTCAGAAAGAAGGGGGAATGTAACTGGCTCAAACTGCAGGAAGACAGCTGGGCTGACAGGGGGGACAGAGGGGTCACTGGTAAATGTAGTGGGTGAAAAGCTAAGACCGGCAATTTTGTCTATAAAATATTTCAGGAAGTTTTCACATAAAATTGTAGATGGCACAACACAGTCTGATTTGCGAGGGTTAACAAGAGAGTTAAAGACATTGAAAAGAACCTCAGGCCTCTGGCTGTTATTTGCTACTACATGGGATAAAAATTTAGTTTTAGCAGATTTTACTGCTCTCTGGTATTTAGATAGTGTATCCCGCATAGATAGTGTGTGGAGCTAGCTATCTTGCTTAGCCAGAGGTGGAAAGTAACAAATTACATTTACTTGCGTTTCTGTAATTGAGTAGGTTTTTTTGTGTACTTAAGTCGTTTTTATAATCTGTAATTTTACTTTTACTTAAGTATGTTTTCTTTGAAGTATTGTACTTTGCTACATTTTAAATCACAACCATTACGGAGTAAACGCAGAGTAGCATATAGCATCCTTAGCTTGAGCTAACTCGGTCACGTCAAGCTAGGCGGGAGTGGTTTCAGCAAAACATATTTAAAAGCAATAGCATACAGAATGCTCCTGACGAACTCCTTGACATGTGCACTTTTCTCTTTATTTGCTAAAGCTAAAGTTGGAAGTACGGTTATTTAAAGGTTGAGTTGAGAATGTGTCTAGTTGTTCATTCAAGTCACATCACCATGATAATACTGAATATAGTGTAACATGTTGGTAGGGTTAAAAAGACTTAAAAAGTATTTTGTACAATGTAGGCCTCTGTATTGTTTTTATATTTTGTATTTGAGAATGTTTTAAAAGTGTGAAACAAGTAGGCTTAACAGTATCAAAGCTACTGGATGCATATGTTAAACAGCAGTAAGTATGAGTCATAGTACCAGTTGAGACTGGGAGAGGCAACCTGTTGGTAACTAGTTAATTATGCTTAGTCCTATGTTAATAACAAATTTGTTATGCTAACGCCTATGAAGTCACATTAAAATTACCACCTGTTGGAATGTAGCCTAAATAAGGATACGACTTAATATACAGTCAGGTGTTTCCCATTTTTCCACTCCAGTGCGGCCTGCCATAGTCTAAACTGCTCTACAAATAATGAAGCAAAAACATTCACAGAACTTCTGAAAATAACATTAAATGTTCTCCAACATTGTTTTGCGCCATTGCTTAAGCAAGGGATCTGTCAAACAAACTAATATCTGGTGTTGTGCCCAGATCAAATTGCAAACGACTGAGATTTCATTAAATAAAATATAATAAGGGCTATAAATAAGATATTAAATCAGTATAAATAAGTTATTTTAGGATAAAATAGTAACTAAGTGAGTAAATTTTAAATGAGCTACTTTTTACTTGAGTAGATTTTTATAACAGTAACTTTACTTGTACTGAAGTAAAAATCCATCAATGTAACAGTACTTTTACTTCAGTATAATATTTTAGTACTCTTTCCACCTCTGTGCTTAGCGAGGTGCATTTGTAATTCACGTTAACTGTCATTTTAACAGGGCTGACAATTTTGTCTAGGGAACAGTAGTATTAAAACTAAATGTACTACATCTACATCTCTCTGTAGAAAGTGAACAGCCAATTCCTAATAAGCTTTTTCAACAGCTCTGGTTAAATTTACGCAGTGCTGAGAGTACGACGCACTCTAGCCCGATTAACAGGTAACCATGGTAACGACTTGTCAATCACAGATAATCCCGCCCTAAAGCGTAGTCTGCTTTATGGTCTATTTTCCTCTAAATGGGGCCATAATTTACTAAATGAACATCATGTTGTATTGAAGAAGACTTGAAACTAGCGATTAACACCATAAACTCATTAGGAAAGTGTTTACTGAGGTGATAAATCAGCTGAGAAGTAGGGTCATTTTACCGTTATATCTATTGGACCGGACTTCTTTTGGCAACCAGAAGAGTTGCTTCCTGCTGGCCGTTCAATAGAACGCAGGTTTAAGGGACTTCAGCATTTGCCTCAGTTCTCTGATCGGACGTTTCCCGCTTGCCATTACTACTGTACATCTGATGCATGCACTATTGTCACATACCCACACCCACATGTAAAGACTGGCATTGACACAATTGTGCTTTATTGCTGTACAGGTACAGTACTTATAAAACATTGGGAAGATAATAATTATGAAACATCACATACAATCTTTTCTTTCCACAAACACATATGTATGCAGGTTAAAATATACTGTGTGTCATGTACAAAAGAAAGACTACGATAAAAAAAACAACACTATGAAAGGCAGTGAGATACCCCTGTTTAGGTGCTAAAATACTGTGTCTCTCTGGACAACTATACATGGACTGGGGACAAATAAAACGTCCATTCCGCACTGGCTGTAGCACCAGAGAGCTGATCTCAGAGCGGAGGATTTTTAGATTCCTGACTAACAATGATGACTGGCAGTAATCTGGCTGCCAGAGTTTGGTAACGGTTAACGACAGACTGAGCTAGGTCATCTGGGATTCTATATGATGGAACTGATATGTCTGTGGGTCGGTCGAGTTAAAGGAGGATGTAAATGGATGACGAGTGTTTAGATGAGACACAGGGGACAGTGCAGTGATTCACAGTGCAGTGGGAAGCAGTTCTTCATATTAGACAGCCACTTTTATCTTTTCAGCATGAACATGTTAAAGGGGCCAGGCCCAACATGTGGTCATGCAAGGTAAAAAGCACTCATATGCTTTAAAAGTCAATAAAAAACATCTCATTTCATGAAATCAGTAAACATGGTAATACACAAAACCATAATGCACATGACTGACGGAGTTATAATGAAGACCCAATACAGAGGCTATAAATTGTCTTTCACTGGCATTGGCAAGTTGACTAGCATGATCTTGGTTCTTGGCTTGACCTTTCAATTTTGTTTGATCACAGGCAGGTTTAAGTCCTTGTGTGAATGAGCTGAATCATACTATGATGAAAATGTTTGACATAGTTCTGCAATGCACTCATGCAACCCCAATCACAGCACACGAGGTGTGAGTCATGGAGCAAATCAATACCTTGCTGCGTCATTATTAACTTGCTTTAAAAATATTAACTGCACACATAACTTCTGAAGACAATAATCACATTAAGCAGTCAGGTACACTGTTTAGATACAGGCGCATGTTCCAGTAATAAGATACACAGGGTGTCATTGATGTGCACAGGCAGTGAAAGAAAATGTTGCATTTGTACATTCAGCCAGTCAGTCAAAACACAGCTCAGCTCATTTGCCATCTCTGTAGTATCAGTTGTCTATACTAATTCCTCTTGAATATTTGTGCACCTGCATGGACAGCAGCTGAGATCGATCCTGTGACGGTGCTGCTAATTCATAAGGCTGAATCAATCAGACACATTGTGGGTGATCAGTGGGGATGAGAAATCAATTAGAGCTATTGATACTTTGCGGCTCTAATAATTCAGACCGATCTTCAAAGATCAAACAGCTTGTCGAGACACACCCAGCCCATTACAGAAGTCAACACAACACCACATAAATATTGTGCAATAAAAACATCCATATACAATGAAAACATCTGCCTTGCATCATAGGAACAGAAGGGAATAAACAAATACTATTAAATAGAGTATAAAGGATTTCATAGCCATAGACAATCATTCTGAAAAAAAAAAGATTCACATTTTAAAATAAACCTCTTCTCTTTACCTCAGTCATTGCATCTAACCCAAGACATTCTTAAATCTCAGTTTCACCATCATAGACAGTATTATCTCATCTCTTCCTCATCTTTCAAATCAATCTCTGTGCTTTTCTGCTATAGTAAAAGGTAGAACATACAACACTGGTTACTATTTACAGAGTGTTTACCATGGAGACACCCGTAGAGCCGGTTTGATCCATTAGGAACGTGGGGGGAGGGTCCGGTTTGTTGGGGTCAAATTGGGGAAGGAGATGAAGGGAGGACACGGGAAGTAAAGGGCGTCTGTGCGGACACAACCACGCTGGAGGACATCTGTACAATAGTCGAGTTCATCTGTGCGTGAGTTTCTGAGCTCTGCACAGTCTCCTGAACAACACTGAACTCATGAAATTGTTCTGGTGTTGATGAGACACAATGAGAGTTAGGTCACCACTTGTCAAGTGTAGACTGTTGTTTTTCTCCCTTCTTTTTGACATGTTCTTTTGATCTATTTAAAAACGGTTCATTGATTCACCCTGAACCGCAGTAACATCTATGGTTTGGTCATGTATGTCAGTCTGTACATATATATACGGACTACTGTGTGCATCACTTTTTATAACTATACTTGTTAGTTTAAACCAGTGGTTCTCAAACTGGGGGGCGTAGAGCCACAGCAGGTGGGTGGTCAACGTTAAGCAGACCTTAAGTTGCATGAATATGATTCATATGGTGACATAAACAAACACCAGCGCTCTGATGCTATCAAGACTTTTTTGCTAATTTTATTAATCTGAATCTTCAATTTATTTAAAAAATATGAAATCCCCTTATTCTGGGTTGTTCAATTAACTTTTTCAGCTTCTGAAGAGGGCATGACAGAAAATGTTTCAGAACCACTGGTTTAGATGTATCGTTCAAGGGTTTTGTCACTTTGGCACAGAGCTTCATGTACACAACATGAACTATATACCTGTCAGCTAAAGCTGTTATTTTAGCTTTACCTTTTTACCTTAAACCAAAGCAGGTTTTTTGTTGAATCCCCCTTTCCTAGTAAAGGTTAGTGCAGTAGTTTACATTTTGGCCAGAGGTTTTTGTTCCTCAAAGGCTGGTAACAATGGGGGAAGTGAAGTGCACCTTGGGATATTATACTGAGGTTACCCTGAGCCCTGGTCACTCGTTGCCAGGGCTGCAGCAGCACTTAGAGCCCAAATGTGAGAAAGGCTAAGTGAGAGCTGCGTACCTGAAAAAGTCCCATGTCCCATAAGCCAGTACACTGATGCTAAAAACTGGAGGTGTCCGAAGGCGTCTGCTGACTTGTAAACTTCAGAGAGGACTGAGACTCGGGGATGCACACACAAGCAATCATGGGAACATCATAGGACGGCATGTCAAGTATAAGCAGCACCATGTTTTGGGGAGGAGCTCCTTTGATTGCAGCAGAACAACATGATAGGCTAGGATTCAGACAGACTAAAAGAGCCATTTAGTATCTGACTACTATCAAAACATTGCTAGCCTGCTCTTTAATTCAGCCTCATCATACATTTAGTCTGAGAGGAACTGAAAATAAATAATAATGTGATTGACACAAAAAAGCAGCTCCCCATGAACCTCTACTGTGTCTGCTTTCTGCTCACTGTTGATAAATAAAACTAGTCAGTGTCACAGAGTGCTGAGCTTCTATCATATAGGTTTGGGAATCCTCCACAGTTGAGGTCAAAGGCGCAGGGGCAGGACCTTCAGCCCAGGGACAAGGCTCATGCTATGGGGCTTGAAGCTTTAACCTAGCCCCTGGGCACTGAGGTTACTTGGTCCACATAAAAAAAGAGCATGTGCGAGTGTGGCTGAATAGAAAGGGAGGGAAGAACATCATATCCAGTACATGTGAATGCATCACACGACCTCTTTCATGGAGAGGCCTTCCTGTTGGTCCAGAGCAGCGTGGGGGGCAGGGGTGGGGACTGAGGTGGACGGTGCTTCCAGTCGCCCCGCCCCTCACACTGCACTTGCCGCCATCGCAGAAGCTCCCCAAGGGCGGCCCTCTCATTCCCGTTGGACAGACAAAACCGCTGGAACACCTGGAGAGATGGAGATGGAGGAAGGGAGGAGAGGCGAGGAGAGAATAGAACATGTTTCAGATCACGCACTGAATAATGACTCTCCTCGAATGGTTTGACAAGCACATGACAGAAAGCTGACCAGGCTGTGGCTGGAGGTGGTAGGAAGAGAGGAGTGTGAATGACAAGCAGTGGTTTTATGAAAAGAAAAATTGAACCGTAGCTCATTGTTCTGGCAAAAATGAAAGAAATTCTAAATACCATCGTCTGATCCATCATCTTGAAAGAGGCAGTGATCACTGGGCTTGGTTTCTCTTCTTAAAGCAGGACAGATTTTCTCATGAATCACTCTAATAAACAACATGGAGAGGAATCTGGGGATGGCACTGAGCCATCTCATGAGACAGTTAATACAGAGGCAAGCAGTGAGGGGGAATTCCTTCTCTAACTGACAGCAACTAATTTCCATATCTGGACTCTCCAGACATCACCTCAAAGAACATCATAGAAGAAGGAGCCCCTCAAGTGGCTCTTGTACGTTTTTTCAGACACACAGGTCAAAAGCACAAACGTGCACACATGCATCCATCATTCACCTTCCAGTCAATATCCAGGTAAATTAATCATACAGGAATTCCAATCTCCTTCTGTCAGTAATACCTGCTACAGGACCAAGCCCTGATGATTCAGACCACATCAGGAATTGGAGGTTATAATGGTGGCAGTGGATGGGTTGTTAAAGGGAAACAAAATGTTCACTCATGTTCAGAGAAGAGATTTAAAGGATAAGGCTGGCATCACTCTTCTTTATATCTTTCTTCCTATCAACAAATCTTATGAAAACACCAAAAGCAAAAAATGTTTTTCTGTCTCACAGTGCTTCCTTACTTCCCTATGCTGTCATAGCACTCAGCCCCAAGCCCAATGGTTCCTACTGAAGATGTAAATCTTGAGCAACACATGGGCACTGTGGTTTTCAATAAATGTTACTAAGACAGGAGTAAATAGTGCATTTGTTGGGGACTAGTTTCAACCGTGGTTTTATATACATAAAAGCGCACCAGGACGGTGCGGTTCACAAAGTGAACTTCAGTGCCCATGTTGAAGGAAAAGGAAAATGTCACCCAGCACCACAGTGTGGATCATTGATGTTGATTGATGATGATTTCACAGAATTTTTTGAACAATGGAGCTCTATGGCACAACAGATAAGCTGTATCAGGCTTTGGCTATGCAGACTTGTTGGTAGGATCAATTCATTGTTGGTTTTAGTCTTTTTGTGGGCTTTATCGACAATAAGAAAAAACTAGAAAACATATTGTCAACCATATCGTTGTAAAATTATCATAATAACAGATTAAAACTTAATGTAATGCTCTAAAAAAAAAAACTTTATCATTCGTTTCCTGCAACAGTTGTTTTCTCTACTCCCTCCTCCATCTGCTGGAGTTGGAGCTGTGAGCTAAATCAAGTCATCAGTACTTCTAATGCCACATTTTCTCTGCATATTGCCAAGCATACAGTACATTTAGTGATGCATTCCTCACAGACATTGCCACATAGCCAAAGGTACACATAGACAGGCATACACATACATACACAAATAAATGCACATTGCACACATTATAATGACACATACATATGTAGCCATGTACATATCTGGAGAACCACACACCTGTGAGTGTCCATATGTACACGCACACAAACACACATACAGATTGATTGCCTGCACAAATGCAACAACCTAATCCATAATTTACACCTCCCTGCCAGGCTATTCTCTCCACTGGCGCCAGCCAGAAACACCAGCTACTGGAACAGTAGACAAGTAGGAACACGGTGTCCATGGACACACACACACACACACACACACACACACATACACATACACATAAACTCAATGCAATAAGCATCAGATACAGTTTTGACAATCCAGTCATTCTGAGAGAAGAACACTGAGATTATAGAAAATATAAATCAATTTAATACTCATCTTCAAAGCTTCGGCACAACATCAAAATAAGATGGTATTGCTGCATTTAGAAATTACATTGACTTTGTGCTTAAAATGGCAAGTATGTGGACACTCAAACATCACACTTATGTGTGACTGGTGAAGATCTCATTCCAAAACCATGGACAATAATATGCTTCCACTCTGTCTGCAGGATTTTGGAAACTGGCTGCAGGGATGTGCTCTCATTCAGCCACAGAGCTTTAGTCAGGGCAGCCAAATTCATCCACACCAAATTTGGAAAATTATTTCTTTATGGACCTCACTATGTGCACAAGGGGATTTTCTTGCTAAAACTGGAAAGGGGAGCACACTATTGTGTGATCATTGAATTCTATAGAAGATTTCCTTTAACTGAAACTAAGAGGCCTAGATTAAAGACAGCCCTGGATGAGAAGTATACAACAATGTGTTGTCCACATACTTTTGACCATGTAGTTTAATACAAAGGGTGTATGTTTTAAGTGAAGACTTCTGTAGAAAGCCATCACAGTTTGGGTTGAGCTGGTAGAATTAGGCTGAATGGGACTACTCACTAAATGGGACTACTCTGTTGACAGTGTGGGAATGCCAGTGCAGAGGGCTCTGGCAAGAACAACGGAAGGTCGTCTGACAAACACGTTGGACCTGGCTCAACTTTTCACAGAACGCAATACAGCGCCACTCAGCAAGGTGCTGTGTTGGCCAGTCAAATACATGCAAGGGCATATTCCTGGTAGATTATTTGCAGCGTTGTTGTTGTTGTTGTCTGAGAAGCATTCAAACTCATGAATCTGTTACTCAAAGTAGTCTTCCTGGATTTAATTTATTGTCTCACTAGTACCTGAAACAACAGCCCCTTGCATTTGTTTTAATGCAGGAATGTTTTCTTACTGTCATAATCCCTAAAAAGATTTCATCTACTAAAACTGATATGAGTGACAATAAACAAGATAAAATTTCCGCACCAGTTTTATGAAGTAGCCAAAATAAAACTGACTGAGGACAGTCAGATTCTCTTCCTCCCTTGAAACACCCTCCTACCTCTGAAATTTTAACCATGTCCTTGCTCACAAGGGCATGTGGGAGGGAGCCAATATACAAACCAACATGTTAATAGTTTGGCAATGTTATGGTAATAACATGGTAATGTAGGATGACTAGTGGTCATTCCAAACTGTCGCTCACAGACTGGGATGTCCTGATGTCCTGTCCTCTGATTTTCTCCTCATAAAACAGACACATTCTACAGCCAAACACCTTTATACGCTAGTCTGTCATGTGGGAAAAACACTATGTATTCTGATTTATTGCGCTGAGCGCTGTGTGTACATTACATACCACAGAATATAAATAAATTACAATATATTGGTGCTTCTCATAAACTATGTACAACAGCCTCTATCATTTGTACAACACTAACACTAAACTATACCCAAAAAGAAGCTAAAAAAGAGCGTCATTAAATAGTTTGTATTTCTAAAACCATTTTTCCCCAGACGTGGGAGGAGAGAGGGTAGAAAATAAGAGGGACTGAATAGAGGGTCCTATTTGTGAGCGCTTTCCGGGAAATTTTACCAGATAGGTTAGGTGACAGGGGATTTCAGAGAAACTAGCACGACACCTTCACTCTCATATGCTTTAACCATGGCAAACATAGGGATTCATGTAGAGACAGGCTCTCTGTCTCTGTCTGTCCGTCTCATCCTTAAAGGGTTGTTATTCTGAAAGCAAACATGTAGCACAGTCCTTCTCCCACTTTAAATGCCATTCCTTCTGCCTAAACTTTGTCTAAAACGGGAAAAACAAAGAATATTAATCGTTGTACCATCCAATTATTATCCTGGCAAAACAGACAGTCTCTCTATTCTTTATATGATTAGTCAAGACTGCTATTAACTACTAACTACAGGAAACAAAACAAGCCAGTCTATTCATTCCTAACTGAGTTATCTGCCCCCCTCTTCCTTCATCCTTTCCTTTTCATTTATCCCATTAGATCTACTAATCCTACATAAACACAGTCTGGAATGCAGCTAACTGAAAGGCATTCTGGGTCACAGAGTAGTTCCCATCTCTTGAATGAACTTATGGTAATGAACCTATTCCAGACACCAGCTTAGTTAAGTTAGGAACCAAGATAAAAGTGTTTTGCCGTCCATGTTTTAATGGTAACAGTGAGTAGCCACACTTTCACTGACCAGTTCTTGCACAGAGATAATATCAGACACATGAGGATGAAGATCTGGAGTGACTAGTTACACAACCTTTAGTTAGATGCAACACCAGTGACAGCAAATAATCTGGAAGAAGACTTTTAGAAACGTTTAAAAAGGGGGTTGTGTGATGGATTCAGCAACATGAAAAACAAGCAGATGAATAAGCAATGATAAAAACTGCAGCTCTATTTTGTTGAACAGATACTCAGAAGTTCAAGGTTGTGTTAGCTGTAAAAATCCATTTGTATCAGTGTTGGTAGGCATGCTTGTTTGCCTTTTCATTAGCATATGGTAATTCAAGGACATTGTAAAAAGAAACAAGGATGCCTATGTCCACTACAAGATGCATTTACTTAAATTGATCACCTCTCATCTATAGGAATGCACAAAATTGACATTTTTATCAATATACAATAAACTGTGTTTTCCATGGTCACTTTTGCCAAAAGCAATTTCAAGTCAAATGTAGAAAAATCTTGACATTCTCAAAAAAAATTTCTTGCATTTTCTTTCTACAGCACGTGCAACCTTGAAACCGCTCCAGTAAGATGCTGACTGTCACGCTGCTGCCTCAAGTGAAAGAATCTTTCATAAAAAAACCTAATGTGAGAAATGCGCTCCCTTTAATCCTAGCAGACGTTTATAGAGATCTACACTTAAGGGGGTATTCATTTTATCCATTCAAATGAATAGTTATTCACACCGTTATAGTAGATTAGAGTTAAAATAAATGAAAGCACACTTAAGCGCTTGTAATAACCAGATGAATCATTCACAAATCTTATAATATTCATCTCAGTACCAATTACAGTTACATGGATGTTATGTGTAACTGATCACGTCAGCCAGCATATCCATATATGCTTTCTCTCTTTCAAGAACCCACATCACTGCAGATGGTTAAACTGACCATACAGATTTTCTAAATTTAGCATCTTATAAATCATCTATAACAAACAATAGTGTGCAGATATATAGATGCCGTGACTCTAGCTGAAACCAAGAGCTGCAGTTTCCTTTTAGAAACAAGAGATAAAAAAAGGGGGGGGTGGGGGGGGTGGTCACTGATTCTAGGATCAGACTTTTTAGTTAGCTAATCTGATTCCAGACCAGTGTTTAAACAACAAAGAGCACAGTAAACAAGGGGAGCAGGTAAAGCTAAATGATGTAGGTAAAGCAGTGGTTTTCAAGATTTTTACTCTGAGGATTTGAATGTTTGCATTAAAACTACCAGAAATTTTGATCAAAACATTCTTTTTCTGCCACAAATACTGAATATTATAGGAATCCATTGTAACTGCAATGAATTCAAGACCTCTGCCTCCATTCTCCATGAAAGAGCAAACTAAAAATCTTTAAAGCCACCTTTAAAGTCTACAGGAGGCAAGTCATTCATACTCCTAAAAATAGACTTGGCTGTAGTATTACTTTAAACAAAAATTATTTTATTTACTTACTTTTATGAAATAAGGATCATTACTGGCATGATCCCACACTGATTCTATGAAAAACACTGCTATTAAGGGTGAATAGCAGCGAGGAATGACATACACTCACCACATCCCTACACGTGAACAGGGCTTCCAGTGAGCCCCCCTGCCCCCCCTCGCAGTTTTAGAGGGCGGCCCCCGCACCGAATGGAGAAAAGTTGAGATGGCCCCTCTGGAAGATAAAGGAGGGAGTAAGAATAACAGCCAAGCTCATTGGAATAGAAGGGAGAGAGGGAGAGAGAGTATTTGGGTATAAGAGAACAGCCCAATAGTTCACATATTCTGAGAAAAACCTTAGAAAACTAAACTTCAAAAAGATGCGAACAGTGACTTCACCCCCAACATTTAGTCAACATGAGGATTGTAAAGTGGGTACACCGTGTGCCTTCACATCTCTAGTGGCAGTGTTTTATGAATGGCGTGTCCTTAGCGACTCTGAAAGTGGGACACTACGTACTTTGCTCATTGGTGTGCTTCACGCACCACTGACAGTGACACTCAATCACTGACGGATGCAGTCTGTGATGAATCTAAATCATTTTCCCTGTGATGAAACTCTCCTATGAGACGAGGACAAAACAGCTGCTTCCTGGAGTACACGATACTGTGACACAAAATACTGAAGAGAGCATTTACAGTGTGGACGCTGTGGGCGACAGTCTCTAGATCAATTACTGTTATGACAGCAGATGTCTTAAATAAATATAATTTCCTGTTAGAGTTTGTGGGTTCACTGCTCACTCAACCTGTAGATATGATCTTGGTAACAGCAGGAGAGTAGAACAGTGTGTGCATTTAAGTATCTATGTGTATGTGTTATGTTGAATGTACACAGATTCTGGCTGTGTTGTGTTCCTGGCCACACTCAGCAGCGATGATGTTAACTGAAGTTATTTTCTCCACATTTTTCATGTTTAACAAGCACATTTGCAGCTAATTTAGAAGGTGTAACAGACAGTCAGACAAGCTTTTGTTGCTTTGCTTGCTTTACGTCAATCTCATAGCACAGTTGCTGTCAATGACTTGTACTGTTGTTTATTTTATCTCACAATGTTGTAAGTAGGGCTGCAATGATTAGTCGACGTAATCAACGATGTCGACTATAAAAATTTGTCGATGTGAAATTTCATTGTCGACACATCGTTACATAGATGCCGTTTAAGGGAGAGATGGCAATCTTTATATTAAGAACATTTCTGTTTTTTTATTTCTAACTGCAATGCACTACAGGAAGTGCTGGGGGCACTATCGCTTCCACTGTCTGCCATGACTGCTTGACTGTAAGACCACTCACGAAGAAGAAGCATTCCTGTGATAAGCGGAAAGTAACGGAGAAAGAGGCAAACAACAAGTTTTGTACGCTATTTAATCACTAAGTACACTTTTGAGCAGTTTTGAGGCGAGAAATCAACTGTGTAGATTTTGAATAAGGCAGTTTTACCAAAGTTGATGGCGAATTGAAAATGTGCTCAAACGTTTTCGGGGTTGAGAAGCTACACAAGCGCCTGTAAGGATAGCGGTGCCAGCCGGCCGGCCAGTCAGGCCCACAGAGCGCCCTGGTCCCAGTCACTCAGACCACTGCAGCAGCAACAACAGAGCAGCAACATCAGAGGAAAGGCAGTGTTTCCTATATGTTCATTTATTTGTGGCGGCCCGCCACAATATCAGCACTGACCGCCACATACTGATTTTTGTTGTTGTTTTTTTACTAGGCTTATTTAAGCTCGTCTCTTTCTCTCCCCCCCTCTACCTCATGAACACCACAGCACAAATCTGTCCAACACAACGCTGGCAATGTTGGAGACCCAGCTTTAAAAAAGTTATTAGTAATGAGTAATTGTTTAAAGTACATCAAGGAACATCTGGCTCGTGATGCAGCCTACAGAACATTCTCCACTTATAAAACTTATAAGCACTTTTGAAAAAATAAAATAAAATAAATGACGTAGTGAAGTAGTATGAAAGGGGACTGTTGCATTATTGTTCTAAATGCACATTACATTGTTAGTATAAAGTTGTGGTTGTAGTACTTGCTTTTAATTTGCTTTTATTTTATATACTTTCAAAGCAAAAATCTTTGTTAAACAGTTACAAGTTTTAAAGTTTGCATAAATCAGTGAATTATAGGAGTGGCCTACGCTGTCTTGTCATCTTCCCCGGTTTCCCCCTGGCATTGATACTGGTGTTCATTCTGAATAGCAAACCTCGTTCACTTAATGGTAATGTTAGCTAGTTAGGCTGTGTGTTGGAGATCAGTAATTCACTTGAAAGATATTTAATTAGTTAAATGTTTTAATTAGGATTAGGGGTTAAAAAACATAATCGTAACTAGTCGACTAATCGAATAAATAATTAACAGGCTACGAAAATAGTCATTAGTTGCAGCCCTAGTTGTAAGTATAAAATAATGATTTCATCTGCAGCTCAGCAGCTTGGTAATAAATACCATTAAACATAGTATTTATGAGCTGAGATTGAACTCTCACAAACACAAAAAAACTAGAAATATACTTGAAAAACTAAATCCTTCTATTAACCACAGAGCAAGGGTGGATCTTTTTCAGTTCAATGATTGATTAACACAAAGAAAGCATATATAAAGAGAATCGGATGGTGGTCTTTGTTGATAAAAGACAAAATCTATTGTCTTTTTTTTGCCTGAGGTGAAGGTGTAGCACAGGATAATCAACATGAGAGCTTTGTGTCTCTATGTTGTTGAAGTTCTTGGTCATGTGAGTGTAATCACACTGGTAAGCCCCTATATCTTTACATCTTATCTATAATAATTAAGGCTTTTCTAAAATATATGTGTCTCAGTTATCAAAAGTTTCTTTCACTCAACATGGTTTCCACTTGGTCATCAGATTTTTATCAATTATATTTATCAGAGGCTGTGTGTGAGTGCGTGCAACCGTGCAGGACATTAAATTCAATCCTGTACACAAAGCCAGAGAAAGCTCATATGTCATCAGTGAAATACATGCCTGATGTGGTTGTGCTGTCATTGTGCGTATGTTAATGTGGGTGTATGTGAGCATGTGTATGTGTGTCAATCACAGGTTTTAAACGAGCTGGCTAGCACATGTTGCCATCAGAATAAAAACATTTTATAATATTAATGATATTCCACTCACAAAATTCACATTTATGTGTGCTGCAATCACTGCATTTGTGCTTTTAGGAGCCTGTCTCTTTGTGTGTTTACCTGAGTATGATGGCTGTCCATGTGTCTGTGTAGAGAGGTGGAGCTGGAGGAATTTGACTTGCTGTGACTCTCGTCCTCCAGCGTCCCTAAACACACAATATTAAAAGCACGTTACAAAGCACAAACATCTGAATGGAGTTCCTCCCACACACAGACAGGTACTGACTGAAGGGCACCTCGCCCTTCAAACACAAGCAGTTGGCAGAGGGGTTGAAAAAGCTTTTCTCACGCAGAAGGAAATGTTAACGAACACCACCGAGATCTCTATGAGCATTTAAGAAATATTGTAATCACTCTGGCTGCAGCTGAAAAAACATTATCCCCTTTTGTACCTGTGGTCTCCATTTTCTCCTCACTTTATTCAGTGCCTGTACAGTGCTTTTATTTCAGGCATCACCAATATTAATATAGGTGATTATGTGACACTTTTTGTGACGTGAGTAAAAGGGTAAAAAGAGAGTAGAGTGAAGAAAGTAATCTGGGAAGCCAGACTAAGCTGTTGAGTCAGTGGTGTTAACACTCTTTGTAGGGCTTTCTGTAGGACTTTCTAGAAAATTAATAGTCTATTCTTTATTTAGAATCACATGGCCTTTTAGTATCTTTCAGGTATAAAGAGGTCTGATATCCATCATTTAGTTCTACACTCTACTCATCTAGATGTACACTCAGGCACTCACATTTCTTTGTAAATACATTCAAAAAGTATTAATAATTAAATTAATTATTAAACACCTGTTTTTGCTCTAGTGTGTATTATCTGTTTCACCCTCAGCATTGATCCACCTGTGAGCCATGTGAAAGTATAATACTCGGGCTGTTACCATTAGAAATCTGGTTGCCATTCTCTACGGGGGCGGGGCTTGGTGAATGAGAAGAGTGGTTGTTGGCGTTCTTGTCCTGTAGCTGCAGAGATGGTGAGGTGGGGGCAGAGCCACAATCTTCCCTCCCTGGCAGATTGATATTAGAATTGAATCCTGGGAAAAATATAGTCAAAAGTGTCAGCATGTTATACACAGTAGACATTAATTACAGTAAATATTTAGATTCCATCATGCGTAATATAATCAAAGGATTTGTAGGGTACAACAGACTCTAAAACAGCGCAGGGGAGTTGCTGTAATATTGCAAAGTTTTCTAATTCTGCTAATATTTTACTTAGTCCCACTTCCAGCCCTCCTTGCACATGACCTTCCTCTGCTGCTGCTCCTCAGGGCTCACATGCTCTCACACACTTAATGAGTAAGTGACTGCATGCACATATGTGTATGGGAGTGTGAATGGGAATTCATCAGCTGCTGTCCCACACTTAGAATGAGTGCCTCCTGGCCCCCCCGTGGTCACAAGATGCCTAAATATAAACTTTGCAAAGTCTACTATAGGTCCCATGAGGTAGGTGTGTGATTCTGAGGGACAAAGGGCTAGGTAGAGGGAGGGAGGTCATGTGAGGGTTGCATGCTTGTGAAGAGATGACTCACAGTGAGTACTTGGATTTGTACAAAGACTATCATGAAGGAGAATTGGACTTTTGTAGCCACTTTTTGTATGTGGCTGTTAAAGCATAAGGTGTTTTTTGACAGTGATTTCCTGAAGCCTGCCAAGACCATTTGCCCTCTTCCCCTGGCATTGCTGTGGTTTTCTCATTCCCTGAGGATGAGGAAGGGGAGGAGGAGGAGGTGGAGTGAGAGGCAGCTGCTCTTCACAGAGATGTCAGGGATGGCAACTGTCACCCCTGACCACTCCCACAGTGTCAGGTGTTAGACTCTGTCATTTAACAGCCGAGAGGGAACGGAAGTAGGCCATCCTGTTAAGCCCTTTGGCATCCCTTTGCGCTCTGATCTAAGAGGGCTGCCTTGCTTTGCCCACTCAAAATAACAGCAAGGTTGTGAACCCCAGTGCCAGGTTCCCCTGTCACACAGTTTCCATGACGCCAGTGCTTTTCCTGCACAGGTCCAGGTGGTTATGCAGACTCAAGTGGCAGACGTCCCGCGAGGCATATGCGTCAGACGGTGCTCTTGCTGTCATACCGTCTCTTATAAGGAGTTCAGCTTCCTGCCCCTTGAACTTGTTGCAGTTATAAGTATGACACAATCAATTTTTCTTGATTGTAATTTTTCTAACTGTTCGGGATGTCCTGTTTGCTGCTGCTGTGCAGTCACAATGTCTACAGTAGAACAAGAGTGAGCTGATAAATATTTGATACCCATCCTCATCATTCTACTGCTCATGTATTATTAACCCAGCCACGACTAACACAGGGAAGCAGAGACTCGGATAAAAACACAGTGGACAACGCAACTTCTACTTTCTCTCATATGCCTGTGCTTTCACACGCTGCAGTATCAATGGGAAATTCACTTTCACAAAAGCACCACATAGTAATCTCTTTGTGGGTTTGAAAACTCTGACCTAAGGACCCTCTTGTTTCATTGACTATGTGTGACAAATACATTTGGCCTTGTATTGCAAAGGTCAACCTTTGCATCAGTGTCACAGGGCCTGTGTGTGCTCTGCAGGTAGTGCACTGAGCCATCACTACTAGATCATACTTACAGTGCAGTGGGATGTTAAGTGGGCTATAGCAGCTAGCTCATTAGGTCCCAGAGCCAAAGGACACTGCACTAGAAACTGTAACAAATGGGCTGTCTCACGTTGGCCATAGAGGGTGGCTGGTTACACCTGAATCAATGTAAGGAGTTTCTAAATGTAGAGAAGGGGGATTTATGAGTAAGGCTGTTGGGTTCTGGTACATCCCACCTCCCTACCACTCAATGTGTGTATGTGTGTAAACCCATACGCACCCCACACCCGCACACAAAAACAGGGGGTTATTACTTACCTACTACCCTACACTACTCCTGCTGTACAGAAGGTAATCATCCAGTACGCAATAAATCACATGGCACAGAGCAGGAGACTTTGATCATGAACTCATCACAGTTGATAGAACACATAATGGACACATGCACTCCTGCACAAATGTGGCCGCATGCTCCCTCACGCACACGCACACGCACGCACACACACACACACACAAACACACACATATACCCACACACCAGCAGGTTCACATATTGGTGGTTTGGCCTAGTCTGGCCCAAGTTATACCAATTTCAAATGCACCATTCACCATGAATGTAGATGGAATTAATATCAATGATTGGAGGAAAAAGTTAAGACAGAAGGAGAAATGGTTATTTTATCCGCTGTTCAGTGTTCTGTGCAGTGATTTTCCTCAGCTAGTGTTTTAGATGCGTGTAGCTCTGTGTTAGTGTAGGAATGTGTGCATTACTGACAGACCTCCATCTCTCATCTTGCGGCCAGATGTGGACTTCCTGAGCAGACTGCGTCCAGAGCTGAACAGAGTGTTGAGCTCATCCAGTGGGCTGGTTAGGGGTCTACCATTTGCTGGGTTGAACAGCAGGGGAGAGGAGGAGCATGAGTGCGCTCTCCGAGGCTCAGCACGAGACATCTTCACTGGGGAGTAGGGAGGTGGCTTCCCAAGTGGTTCCCCACTTGCCCTTTGAGAGGATGAGGTTTTGGGGGAGTCTGAGCTCCCTGTGACAGATGCTGCTCGCGTCAGAGCCAGGAGGCCGGCCTCAGGCGGGAAGGGGAAGTGTGAAGGAGGTCTGTAGGGGGAGGTGGGGCACTGGGGGGAGGAGGCGGAGGTGGAGGGGTAAGTGGAGGTGTAGACTTCTTCTCTGGCATGAGGACAGTGAGGCTAGGGGAGGAGTCAGCCCTCTGGCGGGCATACTGCGGGGACAGCGGGCTGTCTGGGCCAGTAGCATAGTTGAGGTTTGTCTCAAACACAGGCAGCTTTTTTACCTCTAGTGGGGTGAGGGGTGACTCGTCTGAAGCAGGAGAGCAGGTGACGGGTGACGGGGGAAACACAAGGAGAGGTGGACGGTGGGGAAGCAAGTTGGGGAAGGGAGCAGGTATGTCACAGCTGCCATCTTTGCCGTGCTGAGTTTTGGGAGTTCCGCTGCTCTGTGAGAGAGTGATGTCCATGGCAGCGGTCACCCCAGCTGACATCCGTGTGCTCTCCCGCTCTGAGGAGGAGATGCCCCTAATCCCACCAGGCCCAAACCTAGACCCTCTCGTTTGGCTGCCTTGCTAACCACAGCTGCAGGAGTTCCACCGTCTTCGGGAGGGAAGTACTTCATCTCCTCATAGACGGCCTCGTAGTCAGCCTGCTCTGGGCTATCAGGGGGCTCCTGGAGGCTGCGAGCCCGTGGCTGGGAGCCCAACATCTCTATGTACACGTCCTCTTCGTCTTTGCTCTGGTACAGGCTCAGTCCTACCCCTTGTGGGGCATCTACAGAGGCAGCTCTCTGCATCAAACCACCAAACCCTCCAAATCCACCAGCACGGGACAGCAAGGCCAACTTTACATCAGCAGGACGCAGCTGGTGGATGTGGGGAGCTACAGCGTTGATCTCCTCATATGAGCCTGTCAGCTTAGTGTTGGGACTGCGCTTAGGTTTTGGAGGCGGAACCTTCCTCATGGTTGTGTAGTCATCACTGTGAGGACGGGGCTTGGACAAGGCTGAGGGAATTATAAAAGAAGCAATTAAAAATAGAGAAAGTCAAGGTACAGTAACAACAGTGACGCAGAAAAAACACCATCTGTTGTATCATCTAAAGAACAGTAGATGTCATATACCTGCAGGGTCTGTGGGGGACAGCTGGAATTTAGGAGGGCTTCCATCTGGCGACCCATACCCCTCTGGAGTAGGGCTCTCTTTCGCTGCCATCATCAACCCAGCGCTAACAGCTTCATAAGATGCACTCAGACGAGTGTTGGGGTCCCTCTTTGGTTTGGGAGGAGGTTGCTTCCGAGGAGAGGAAAGACCTCCCCCGCCTGCCCCATCCTCGTTGGTATGTGCTACCTGTTGCACGACTGGTTTGATGGCAGAAGAATGGACCATGTTCTCTATGGCGATGGGGATGGGTACTGAGCTAGACCGAAAGTGGCGAATCACTCTGTTGCCCCCGCTGAGAGGACCCTCATAGATTTTCCCACTTTTCTCTACAACCCTACAAATCAGAAGAATAACAGAATTCATATTTAAATGAAAGAAATGAAAAAAAAAAAAAAGTTTGACAGTTTGTATTGTTCACAAACATCATCGCTTGTGCTTGATTCATGCTTTTCACAAAAAAGTAAAAAGTATAAAAGCTTTAGTTAAAGGCAAAACATTTTCCCAACCAATAATCTTCTGATGCAGATTGAGTTAATTATATAATTTAGATCATCAGTATACTCAAAGTCAATGTATGCCTGCTTCAACTGTCATGCCACAAATAGGAGCCAAGGAGGCCAATTGGAGGATAAAGACCAAAGAGATTATGCTTTAAATCTAATCTCCTTGCAGTAATTTGATAACATGCAGTTTGATATTTCCTTTGCTAATCTGCGTGAGCCATCTGTTGGTTCCATGACTGCAGGCGGGGGGTGGCCGAGCATGTGTGAAGTTGATGGGGGAAGGCATTTTAAAAACCTGGAGAGAAATTAGGTGAGTTTGGGTGAATGTTTGCATGGGAGTGTGTTTGTGTGTATGTGTGCAAAAGTGTGTATGTGCCTATTAATCCCCTCTACAATACTCCGACTATGACTCCTCTACCAGATCGCCTACTGATACCCCTTCTCCTGTTCAAAGCCTCCCTGTCAAGGACACATAAAGGATACAGAAATCATGTGTGTATGTACACTCATGTGTCTTTCTTCTCATTTTTCAGGATGTATGGCTAAACCCTAATGTTAAAACTCAATTTAATAATTAAAGTATATCAAAAAGTGTGTATCAGTACAGTGCGGTTCCTTTTTGTATTTCAACTGTGGCCATTACTCAGTAAAATGATATACTACAGTTAGTAATTGTCCACTCTATTTACTTTATACACTTTTTTAAGGCACTTTAAAGCTTTACATTTACAAGATTATGTTTTGAAGCAAAACACCTTGACATCACTTTGTCAAAAAGCCTCAAGACACAAGCATATTCATAATCAATCACTGTCAAACTGAAATGAAATCTGCATTATGTAACAATGGCAACAATCATGACAAATGATATTGCTTCCTCTGTAGAGAGAAAAGGCTTTTGAAATAAGAAATGCATTTATTATGCAGCATACCGTAGTAAGCATCATATATATATCACAGTTACACATTTATAGGTTTATTAGTGTTGAAATGCATCGGTCACATTTCAGGCATTAATATAAACAAGGCTAGCGTTTTTCAAAGATTCCAAAAGTGGCTTTTCAAAATGAAGGTCGTTAATTTAGCACACCCTCTAAAGAGCTTCTTATAACCTTTTTTACCCTTCTAACTCAGTCCTCCAGGGTTTTTCCATTTTTTCCAGGCATGATATGTCATACTAGAATGAGGTGAGGTGGAGATAAGGATAGCGTTCCATAGCAACATGCACACAACACAATACTAATAGGTTTTGATAATGAGGACTGATTATCTCACTATCCATCAAGAACTTACAGTTAAAAGCCTACAGTGCAAAGAGATACAATAACATCATTAATCAAAAAACACATGTTGTGCAGACATAGGCATGCAGAAACAAGCATACACACACAGAAAGGGAAATGATTCCTTCATACAAATCTTGTGAATGACGGTAACTGTAGATTGTTTACTTTCCAGGCTAAACAATCCTACAGTCACTATGATGCCATCACATTTAGTATAATGAATTATGTTGTAGTAAAAAATAAAAGCCCTATTTTGGTGAGTATAAAGTCTTGATTCTTGCATTAGTGCGAAGAAATCTGTAGCATGGTGCAGTCTATCATCCAAAAAACACTTGAACTTTTTGATCAAATGAATGTTTGACGAGAGTGGGTAAATAACATTAGAAATACCAATGGGGAAAAAATAATAAGTACACATCTACATTGTTTAAATATTCATGCATTTTTGTCTTCAAATCTGAATGAAGGTGACAGAGTTGTGAAGGTGTTTGCTAATTTACCTCCTGGTGGGCTGATCCTCCTCTTTGCCCACTGGCTCAGGCCTTTCACCAAGTGGCGGGCTGTTGCTGAGGGTGTTGACAAGGCTGCTACCATGGCAGCGCAGGCGGTCACTCTCTCTTGCGATGTCAGATGCATTTTGGATGACCAACTGGTCATAGGTTCGCAGACCCATGTCCTCCGCCCCCTGCAGGAAACGCTGCACACAGCACTCCTCTTTCTGCTGTAATGACAGCCTGCGCTGAACACGCTGTCTGGCCAGCCAGCCACGCACCACTGAGACAAGAGGAAGAGGAGATGAGAGAAGGATGGAGGAGGAGGGGAAGACAGAGACGCCAGAGGTGTCAGTGAAAGAAAGACATACAAACCCTAAAAGAACATCATGGGTTGCTGGTTTGTTATTTAGGACATTACCTTTCTGACAGGTGATGATCTTTTTATGAAGCTGGTAGCAGCGGTCGTTGAGCTGGTCTGCCTGCCAGTATCTCAGAAACACTTACTACTGCCCATCTATACACAGAACGACACAAGTTATCTGATCAAGAAATATGCAAAAGCATTGCTGACACTTCACTGCCATCATCATCAGTCTTCAGAATAGGCTGTCCCACTAGAGGCTGTCCTCTTCTTCTGAAATCTCAGAAGAGAGTGACTTGCTATTTGAGAGATGGGAGAGAAGTAGTAGAGTAGCAATGATGTATGATAATATGGGTGGGTGTGGAGTGTGGGCGGATTTGGGGTTTGCATGTTGATCACTTCCTGGGCTAAAGGGACATTTGGAAGAGGGTGGCTGGCGACAGAGGTCACTATAACAGGTGCACAGAGCTGGGGGTAACATACTACCACAGACGGACACTCATTCCAACACACGCTACTTGTAGGAGTAGTGTGTGTGTGTGTGTGTGTGTATGTATAGCAGGGCTGTATGAGAAGGTGTCTGTGGGGCATTGTAGAGGAGCGTGTGTGTGCTGTGTGAGGCAGGAGCTGATGCGACCTGTAAGGTCACACACTCAGACACAACAGCAGTCTGGCAGACAGCACAGAGAGGGGGGAGGAGTCTGTGCTGTTGTGTGTGTGTGTTTGTGTGTGCATGTGTGAGGAGAATGATGATGAGGTGAGGACAGCTGGAACAAGTTGCCAAAGATTCCATGGGATCGGGAATAAGTAATTTGGCGAATCTTTTGTTACTGATGGAGACAGAAAAAGAGGCAAGACACACACACACACACACACACACACACACACACACACACACACACACACACACACACACACACACACACACACACACACACACACACACACACACACACACACACACCTGCCATCCCTGGAGTTTGAACTGTTGCAGAACTGAGCGGCATCTCTCCTCTGGTGACAGTTTCTTTTTGTCTCCCAAAGTTGGGACCACGAGGTCTTTATATCTGAGACACACAAATAAAACAGAAAACACAAAGTGTTGAACTTAAACATTTAGACAAGAAATATTGACACCCCCTTTTCAAAAACAATGGGTTCAAAGGTTAGTGGGGTCATACGGCAGCCCAGCCAAACAGCATCTGTTCCTATTGGTGTTGCCCTAGGCAACTGCTATGAATGGTCAGCTGGATAGAGACAATGTTTTGCTTGTGCCAGGGATCGTAGGGGTGAAAGGGAAAATGAGCAAGAGAAAGTTTGACACAGAATTCAATGATAGAAAATGTATGCCTCTTGATATGTAAATAACTGTGGATAATTCTATATGCGGTGTGAATTCTGAATGTTTAGACATGAATGCATGAGTACTGTAAGTGTGACAGAGGCTGGCTTATGAAGGGAAACTTGCCAATTTGAATGCTTAGACCAGATCAAAAAATGTGAGTGGAATAAAAACTTAACATTCTCCCTTTCATAAGCAGTTACTTCCAAAGGGCCCTTGTGAGCCCCTTTGCACCTGCTCCAGGAAGACTCGGCAGCCACCCAACTTAAGTAAGTGTAACCATAATTGTGCAGAAGAAAAGGGAGCATAGTTAAAATGGTGTATTTGCGCTGGTCCACACTGTCACACTGCATGTGATGATCTGATGTGGTGTGTTATGAATATTTAATTTACACTGTTCAGCTTTGGCTAGAGCATTAACACCTGTGACAGACAACCCCCGATACCTACAGAGCTACTGAACAGGATACTCATTTAAATTAAGATGAATGGGTAGTCACAAGGTACACAGTAAATGCTATGGAGATTTTTGACTTGTCATAATAGGAAAAGCACACTTATTACATTTATTCATTTTAGCTGACGCTTTTATCCAAAGCAACTTACAATTGAGCTCACACGCCTCTGGAGCAACTAAGGGTTAAGTGTCTTACTCAGAGAGTCTCACAGTGGTTTTGAACCCAGGTCTCTCACACAAAGGCATGTTTCTTATCCACTGCTCCACCATAAATAACATTAACTTACCCAGTAGTCCTGCTGTATAACATAATGCATCTCCTTCTGCTTGGATGACATAAGCATTATCAATAACATTTTTCCTATTTAGTTGTTATTTGTACCCACAAGGACATGCAACCGATTATAAACACATTTAGATATGAATTGCAAAGTTGGTGGCATGGGTGACAATTCCATATTTTTGGACAATAGACTGAGAATTTACACTTATATTTCTGTCCAGGAGCTGCAGGTAAATATGATTTCTTTATCTGGAAACTGATGGATGTCAGTGATACCCTGAAACTGTATACCTCAAATAAAGCTTAATTTGTTAAACTTTGATGAGGTTAATGTTATCAGTAGCTGATACGCTGGTACAGGGGAAACCCACGCAGATCAATATTTTAAAGTAGCCCACATTTTCAGTCCTTTGGCTTTGCAACACGCATTATAACTAGAGCCCTTTTGTAACATCTTTAGGCATCCATTTACACAGACAAGTCAGCAACTATGACATTCTCTGAATGAAATAGGAATAGAAATACACAAACCCCTCAAACATTGTATCAGCTGGTCAGTGCATTATGTCAGTCAGTGATCTGTCTTTTCTGTTATTAATGAGAGGCAGAACCAGCTGATGATGTGACACATCTGAGGAGGAAAATATAACAAGCAGATGGCTGGAAGCATAACCCACTTGTGTTGTCAATAGTGAGTGAGTGAGGGCATGTGCATTTGGGATGTATTTGATTTGCAAGAGTGGGGTCCGTCTGAACTCTACCTAACCCTCTCTCTGTATGGTAATACCAGTCCTACAGACAGCACACGTCCCACTGGGCCCATAAAACACAAAGGAACTCTGTAAACCCATGACCTTCCCTATGAGGATATGAAAACATCGATGGTCCCTGCTTTTACAAGACCCAAGGGGGCTTCATGTGGAGTAAAGAAGGGAAATAACCCTTTTGATAACAGTTTAAGGGAGGGCTACAAGGCGCTAATGTTGTTCTCTGTGAGCAAAAGGGCCTCTCACTGTTACTGAGCATCACAAAGGTGTTAAATGCAATGCAGCTGGAATTTAAACCACTCACTTCCTTTCTGAGGCCCCATCCACACTAATGCGTTTTGTTTAAAACAGACCTTTCGCTAAGTTTGCACCTCCCGTCCAAACTAAAACGAAGACCTAAAACGGAGAAGTTTGGAAATGCTGTTGATTTGAAACGACAGAGGGCGTTTTAGTGAAGATGGTCAAAAACAGAGGACTCTAGAAACAATGAGCAGACGATCATGTTTGGCTCTGATTGGTGCTACTGACAGTTTTGACATGTTTTTTAATTAAAATATTTTGTACTGTGCAAATAACACCATAGCCTACACTGTACTGTACGTGTTCCCGTTTACTTTGCGATGACTTCCAGTCTGATTTCACCGCCGCAGCGCTTTTAACTCCCGTGTTACATTCAGTCCCAAGTTCGCCAACAGTCCCAGCTCGTTATTGGTCCAAATAAAAATTGGTGTGATTGTTTGTCTGTAGTACTGCATTTTTCTGTAACTACGGAATAGACCATCTCCTTCATGTTTACACCGATACAGCATGCCCAGTGTACGTGAACAGCCACTAGATGTGCATTTCAGTCGTTTCAAATCGGCAAAATGGCATGATCCTCGTTTCACTGCGAAGCTTCGACTGTGAGATTGACAGTCGAATCAGGCTCTGCCCCATCGAAGCATCGAATCTTCGACTATTGGGGGTCAGCCCTAAGTGGTAGTATTTGACCTTACACATAGGCAGAAAATAAACCCAGCCACAAAACTCATAGTGTATCATAAAAGACAAATAAAAGCAACAGTAAAATAGATTTCCTCATAAATCACTATGGTTACCAGGACACTAATTGCCAGCCACTATGACTTAGTGAAGTGGCCTGCATGGTTCCAGTGTGCAAGTGTGTGTTTGTGTGTACTGTAAACACTGGTGTGTTTGTGTTCATGAGAATATAGCAACCTCAGATTAATGCTGATTTTTGGCCTGTCATTTTGATTAGTCAAGGGCCAGGGCTGGTTTTGAAAGACTGACAAATGGAAAGAGGAAAAGGACCAAAGAAACAGGACAAAATTGGATAGGTGTGTGTGCAGGTGAGCGAAAAAGGGAAAGATAAAGACTGAAATGAAGAAAGAAATAAAAACTTTGCAAGAGAAGAGGCCGGAAGATGAAATAAAAAAGCAAA